GTATAATGATCAACTTTGTCAAACGCTTTATGAAAATCAATATATACAGCACCAGTTAAAGTTAATTTAATTGTCTTTTGTGTGTTGGATCATTTTGTATTGTCATAGGAGCTGAGAAATGGAAATGTACCAAAATAAATGAGAAAAACTCCAAACCTGCCAACTGACAGTAACTAGTAAATAAGTAAATATTCAGTAAATAGGTGTTTATAATGTAACAATTTGGATCCGTTGTTAAACAATAAAGTAACATTTTGAAGAATTTTATTCATTGTGTCCAGAAACCGTGTGAAATGTTATTTCTCTTTTTTTCAGTGTTTAATGTTGGGCAGTACAGACGAGAGGCCACACAATCCTTTAATAGCTACAAGTTCTTTAAGCCTGACAACACAGAGGCCATGAAGATACGCAAGTATGGACTTTATTAGTTTACTGTTTTTTCTCTGAACAATTTAACGCCAAACAAAATGAATGCTTATTTACACCAGAAACACATTCATAAACATTTTTTGTGCTCACTTATAGCATCAGTTTATTTAAATGTGGCTTTTTTTTTATCTTAACACAGTATATTAGTAAAATATTTGCACCTTAGATTTTTGGGTGGAAACTTGATAAAGTGCTGCAATAATGCTGGTGGAGAGGCTCCTAAGCCCACCGGTGGGAATGTATAGTAAGGGCTTACTCAAAAAAAAAAGAAAGAAAGAAAGAAAGATGGTTAGTTAAGTCTCTATGTATAATATACCTCTATTACGTTAAATGTTTTGTTAGAAACACACAAACAAACAGAGAAAAAGAGTGATGTGTAACTAGACACCACATAGTGGTAACATAATGACCCCATTATTAAAGCCTTTGTTTTGAATGCTGCCTGCGCCCTGGGTTCTTTCCTGCCTGTCAAATCATTACACTACTAGGTGCATCCCAAATTGTAGTAGTTTGGATGGGGGTCTTTTTTTGGTGGGGGGGTGATCTGATGGATAGAACGTCATCAGAGCTAAACAACCAATGGTAATCTGAAGCTCTTATGTTAGTTCTTGAGCTATAACCACTTTTGTATGTGCAGATACTTCTTTTTCAGATAAATTGGGGGTCGGGGGGGGGGGGGGGCACTGATTGGTGGCCCTGATGGATAGCCCTTCATCAGAGCTAAACAAAAAAAGAAATAGGAAGCTCCTATGTTTAATAGTTTTTGAGTTCAGTGTTTATTGACCAACGTTATAAAGATTTAATGATGTAGTATTGGCAACATGACGGTTATTACAAATATTAATTAATAATAATAATTATTACATTATTGATTAGGATGAACAGAAATACTGGTTTTTGATTGTTTATTACATAATGCACCAGATTATAACACTACCACATGTTGTAATAAATGCCGCAAAATGTAATAACATTATTACACAATGCATTGAAGACTTTTATTACATTTTGCATCAATTCTTACATAATGCGGTTTTAGCGCAAGTTTATTACATTTTGAAGCCTGATTTTATTACATTATTACATAATGTGTTCTTATTACAAAATGAGGTCTTACAAGATRTATTCTATTCTAAATCAGAGCCTTGAAGTACAGCATTTTTTATCTTAAGAAAACTGGAACTTAATCCAGTCATCTGTACACATTGCAACCTGTTTGCCAAATAATCTACAAAACAACAAGATGCTTCTTTGAAGATACCTATATTGGGAAGGGTTTTTAACAAAATACTGTGGTCTGCACTGTTAAATGCCTTGGATAAATCARTGAACAGAGCAACTCAATCCAGTGCCTTGAACACATCATTTAAAAGTTATWGAGCAGCAGTAACACTGCTGCTTCCTAAAATCTGACTGAAAATGATTACATTTTTTTTGTTTCTAAAAATTATTTCTAAAAACTGTGACCAAATAGCGTTGGAATCGAACTGCCAACTCTCTCAGAGGAATTACACCACTAACCACTCATCCACAGCCACCCAAATCAATTTCTTTTTTCTTTTTTTATGGATAAAAAATGGATACTCCTCCAAAACAATATAGTTTGTGCAAGTTTTGACCATCCAGTAAAAAGACTTAAAAATGCAGACATGTTTATCAGCCTGATAAGTGGCTCCAGTGTTGCCAACTTGAAGTTGGTTGGTTAAAGAGGTGGCTCTCACTCAGAATTAAGTATCACTAGAGTTAGTCTCGCCTGTTCTGTCTACTGTTAGCATTTGTAACAACATGGAGGAGCAAAAATGGCAACCATCGCTTACATCCCTCATAGCAACAATACGATTAATAGCAAGCCAAACTGGATATGTCACTAATGTTTTTACAATAAGATACTATAATTTTTAATTATGTGAATTTTATTCAACAATCGTAAAACAGCTAAATACTGTTAGCCTGGTTCAAACCAGACCCTGTCCTTCACTTTGCTTTGCACAAGGGTCTGGACTTGATGCATAGAGAATCATTTCTTGCAGGAGGCGTGGCCTCTGCTGAAGCATGTGTGTGTGTGTCGCTGTGAAGGA